CAGGCTCCCAGCATACAAACTTTCCTGAGAACATGTAGAACTAGCTACTGTTTCCGTTGGCGAAAGTTTTTCGGTCTTGGATTCGTTGCTTTTAACATTAATATCCTCATCAAGCTTGTTCTTGCCGTGAGAGTCACCACCGATATTTTTTGAAGTCATCAGGATCCAGTACTTAGAATTATAACAAACTGTTGATCTATTTTACAGGCTGAGAAAATTATAAATGTTAATTTTTAGACACAATAGAGAAATGTCTTAAGTTCTAAGGTAGCGTTACTAAAAATAGTAACAATAATTTAATTTTAAGCCAGTTTGATATGAAAACACTTATCATATGTAGCCTGTCACTGATTCTCTTCTTACTAATTCTAGGCCCAAGTAACAGTAATATTAATAGGTTGACAGGAACTTTTATCGTGTAATTTAGGAAAGCTGATCGAAGCTTATTTATGTGCTTTTCATTCTAAGTATTGTAACAAAAATATTTTAATTTTATTTTCTTCTTAAGAATAAATGTGATTTTCAAATAATAATTTAATGGATCAGGAAACTATGAAATATTAATATTATTATATCGTTATGATTAATATTAAATAAGGATAAGACTAGTTGTCGGGGTTTATTAATTCCATATTTCCAAAATCTCTCAGTTAAATATAAAGAAAAATAGGCCTAACGTTATGTAATTATTTATTCAAAGTATATAACATGTTGTATCCTTCTATTTTTGGCCTAAGTTTTTTTATATTTTACTACAAATTATAACACCAACATGCAATTTTCTAAGCTACACAGACAAAACCACTTATCTTACCATTTCAAATAGTAACGTTTCAAAAGAAACAAAATAGTATCCATGTAACAGTTTATTTTTAGCTAATCTTTAGTGCTTTGACCTTGACCAAAAGCCAGTGAAAGCCTATCAGTTAGGCCTAAAGCTAATTTCCAATATTATATTTTAATCAAGTGTATTTTTCTTTTCATATAATGCATTAATTTTAGGGCTGACACAAACTGGCTTTCACTGAAAATAAGTTAGTCCAAGATCCATAGTTTATTAAGCATTTGACTCTGTTGCTTATACTTAATACATTAAGCCTAATATATTAATAAGAGCACCTGTTTTTCGTTAATGTTACATTTAACCGACATTGACAAAATCCTCAGTAGAGGGCCTTCCAATAAACTAAACACGTTGTTTACGTATTTGTATTTTTAAAATGAGATTTACTTATATGTATATTCAAGTATATTATTGGTTATAACTTAATCTTTTATTGAATTGGATACGATTTATTTGTCTTAAAATTTATACTGAGCAACGTGTCGAACAAACACTATTCAAAAAATTTAAATCTTACGCAATATGGATATTTTTAAGGTACCAATAACTAGTTTTCAAAAAGTAATTACACTTTCTCGGTTCTATATATCTTTTTAAAAATATTAATTTTGCTCAACTATTTATATTGTTACGTCTCTGGTCGTTTGTTAATTTCCCGTAAAAATTCTTCCCGAGGAACTTCAGCTATACAAGTTCTTTCTTAAATAAAACTAGTTTATTCTTCCTCAATACAACTTTGCAATACACAGAATTTGCACAGTCACTTTAACTTAAATACACACTATAATTCACAATGATTTACACACTTTACTTATGGATTGAGGCCCGGCATGGCCAGGTGGTTAGGGCGCTCGACTCGCAATCTGTGGGTTCGAATCTCCATCACACCAAACATGCTCGCCCTTACAGCCGTGGGAGCATTATAATGTGATGGTCAATCCCACTATTCGTTGATAAAAGAGTAGCCCAAGTGTTGACGGTGGGTGGTGATGACTAGCTGCCTTCCCTCTAGACTTACACTGCTAAATTAGGGATGGCTAGCGCAGATAGCCCTCGTGTAGCTTTGCGCGAAATTCATAACAAACTTACGTCTTGACTCGATTATTATCTGTCTCTATATCTCCCTATCTGCAATTATTCTCCGCTTTATTTGCCGCCTTATATATTAAAATAGAGGGCATCTGGTAAACACTCGAGCCTTCATGATCCTTCTAGAAGCTCATCACGTGTTACCAGCATCACTTGACTTTCGCTGTTGTAACACTGCCCCTTCCTTAATATTGTTCCTCCCGAACAATAGCCACTTACATTAAACCAACAGATAATTAACAATAACTTAATTAAATGTACAGAATTTACAAACACAAAATTAAAATTCAACAAAGTCTTAATTTTACGGGACGTATCTTCTTCCGTACTGATCTCTGTCTCGTTGGCTTCTGCTTCACGTGGGGTTCATCTGCTCCATCAGGAAATGTCATGGACCGTGATAACGCCAAAACCTTTTGGCATGCACCACCTTTGGCTTACCTCGCCGATCACATTTTATTCGGAAAGTCACGTCTGAGAGACGATCCACTATGTTATATGGGCCTTCCCATGGAGAAGACAACTTAGGAGACTTCCCTTTGGTCTTCCTGGGATTATACACCCACACCTTGTCTCCTGGTACAAAGCTGACTTCAGTAGATCTCTT